GCTCAGATCTCGGTCATCACCATATCCGAGGACACCATGATCCAGTGATTCCGAACAGGCCTACCTTAGCCATTCCAGTGGCAGATGATGGCGTACTCTATCTACACCTTACTTGAGGCCTTCAACATCGCGCGGACCATTCAGCTCACTTACACTCCACTCGTTGGCCCCTCGCCTCAGCCCGACACTGCCCATCCCGCCACCATTGCAGCCCCTCGCCCCTCTCATCCTCGACACTCTTCCACGTATTGTGGTGGCCCTTGCAGAGGTTCGGGACGATCCTTCTTTTGTCGCTTTCACGCCCTACTTCGTGATTCGTTAAGCGTTGAGGACGACACTGCCTCAGACGGTTTTGCGAGCGATCTCGATCAGGGACTTGACTCCCTGTCCCCCGCTGATGACAACGTCTCATCCCAGGACGACCACCTTGTCCGGGCCCTCTCTGCTTTTCTTTGTCGTCAGTCCTCGTCCTCGAGGACTCACTCTTCTGTCCCTTAGCAACCTCTCCTAGTGGATTTCGTGTTTCCTCGCAGCCGCTTGACCATCACTAAGAGTGAGGACCGTCGTGCACGAGGCATCTGTACACGCTGCCGCCTCACTGGCCATACCTCCTCTACCTTCCCGTACGCTGACGATCTCCAGCGTCACTTCGCACAACAGGCTCGCCCTCAAGCTGTTCCCCCCGTCTGGACTTCCATAGCAACACCCACCTAGTCGTGATGTCTCGTTCCCCTGACTCTACAACGGTAGCAGGCATACCCGTTCGCGACTCTACCTTTGCGCCGCTTGCTACTTTTCTCAATTATTCTCCCCCAACCTTATCTTTCGGTGACCTTATCGACATTTGTATACCTTCTCCTTCCTCACCTAGCATCTCTCGTGATCCCCCTCCTCCACGTCCTCCTACCAGGTGTGCTCTTCGCTGGACCCGCTCCAGTGCTTCCCTTATCGCAACCGAGGATATCATTGCTTCCTGGACCTCGAGTGTGTTAAGGTCCGTGTGGAATGTCTCCGCCTTAAAGAGCGCACCCTGTCCACGATGTCTCAACGCCTACACAATCCCGATCGCACCTTACCGATTATCCCAGTGCGGCTTGGGACCTTTACGAGAGTGTATCACACACTTTGGGACTCGTGGCTCTACCGACGACTTCATGCATCCTCGCGCAGGTAAGGAGGTATACATCCGCCTACCCTTCCACTTGTCACTATCACGCTTTGTGACAATCAGGCCAAGTCCTTCGTCGACTGTGTGGTGCCTGATCTTCCGTTCTCCTTCCCTTTGTGGATGCCTCACAACCTTTGCAAGGCCCCTCGGTTCCATGAACAGTGGACCTTTGACATCATGGAAACCTTATACGATCTTATTCTCGACATTGCGTACTCCCAGCAGTCCGCCCACTCTGGTCCCGATTGGGCCCACAACGATCTCATCCTTGACGGCAAGGATGGGAAGCGTTACCGCATTCCATTGTTGGGGAAATCGGACTCTACTCATCCACCCCCTGTTAGTGTCACCATCTGTACACCTACCCAATTTCACAACTTCCTTTGTCAACTCGATGTCGAACTTTATGTTGTGGACATCACATATCTTCTCATCGGTAACTCCATGCGTAAGGATTGGTTGAGCTTGATCCACCACCTCCTGAGCCCCCCGACCCTCCTGATTCCTCAGGTTCCTTACCCTCCTCTACCCTTGCTAGCCCATCTCACTTTGTCGCTTTCCTTACCAGTGATACACCCTCAGTCCCTATCTCCACACAAACTCCCTCCACCTCTGCTTCAGACACTGCTAAGGAATTTGACACCCTTCTTTCTTCCTTGCATCCTAGCGTTGGTGCCCTCCTTCACGAGTATCGCGATGTTTTCCCCTTATCCTCTCCTACGACAGAATTCCTCCCATGCACGATCTCGAGCACCACATCCAGCTCAAGCCCGACTATCGCATTCAGAATTGTGCCCCATACCGCCTTCGGTTCCCGAAACCTAGGAACTCGAGCGCCAACTTGAGGAGTTGCTTCGCCAGGTCCTCATTAAACCGAGTACTTCCCTATGGTGCGCCCATGTCCTCTTCGATCGCAAGAAGGACGACACCCTTCGTCTCTGCATTGACTACCGCGGTCTCAACCACTGCACAATCGAAAACAGCTATCCCATGCCCTGCGCGGATGATTTGTTTGACTGCCTTGCTTGCCACCACTTCTTCATGAAGATTGATCTTCGTAGGAGATATCACCAGATCCGCGTAGCTGAGGAGGACCAGCCTAAAACCGCTTTTCATTCTCGTTTCGGGCACTATGAGTTTACTGTCATGCCTTTCGGTCTCCGTAATGCCCCTGCCACTTTCTAGACGGCTATGAACACCATGTTCCAAGACCTTCTTGAGGACCCTGTTCTAGTCTACATTGACGACATCCTGATCTACAGTCGTACCCTAGAGGATCACCTGACCCATCTTCGCACTGTCCTGCAGCGACTACACTACCACGGGTTCTATGCGAAGCTTTCCAAATGCAGCTTCGCTCAACCTGAAGTCGACTTCCACGGGCATCAGGTATCTGAGCATGGCCTCCACATGGCCGACTCGAAGACAGGTCATCGTCGATTGGCCTACCCCTACATCTCTTTCTGCCCTGCCTAGTTTTTTTAGCTTGACCAACTACTAAGGTCCTTTTCTCAAAAACTACGCGGAGTATTCTTTCCAGCTTACCCCTCTGACCCGCAGACGTCCACCTTTTCATTGGACCCCGGCTCACGAGGATGCCTTCCGCTCTCTCAAGCGATTTGTCACCTCAGTTTCTGTCTTACACTTACCCGATCACTCGCATCCGTTCATCGTCACCACCGACGCGTTCGACTTCGCTATTGGAGTTGTCCTCTCTCATATCTACCCTGCGCCGTCTACTCCTCCCGACTCCACAAAGTCTCATCTCCCTCGCATTCCTCGCTTCCCTCCCCCACCTCCAGCCCCTTCAAGGCCCCCACCCCCATATATCCTTGACATTGCTGACGACGATACAGTCGAGTCTTGCGATGGAGAGTGTCCAGTTGCCAACCTATCTTGACAAATACTTCCCGATGAGCATAACTATACTGCTGACGAGCGTGAGGTCCTTGGGCTGGTCTACGCTGTAAAGACATGGCGTCATCATTTGCACGGTCACACCTTCACTATGTTGATAGGCAACTCTTTTCTCGTCGCCTTCCAGACGAAGCCTAAGCTCACAGCCCGCCAGGCTCGTTGGTGGCGTGACCTCTCAGAGTTCGACTTCACAGTCAAGAAGATTTTCGGCGAGAGCAATCGTGGCGCCGATGCCTTATCCCGTCGCCTCGATCTTCGGTGTGAGGATCGTCAGCTCTCAGCCATCTCTATTCCTAGCATCCACCCCGCCATTATGGATGAGTAACCTCACACATACACTCAGTGTTCTGAGTTTCAGTCCATCTATGCCGACTTACAGGCGGGCAAGATTGTCCCTAACTTCCAGCTCGATCCTTCTGGAACCCTATTTTGGCTTGGTCGCCAAGGTACCCGTACTCCCCGCTTATTTGTTACTTTTGTCGGCCAGCTCCGCGTTCGGGCCGTCGTTGAGTGTCATGATCAGCGCATCGCTGGTCATCTCGGTGTCTTCGAGACCCTCGATCGCTTCTACCACCACTACTACTGGAAGCACCGTCGTCCCTTCACAAAGGAGTATGTTTACACCTGCAAGATTTGCCAGGAGGCCAACATTACCAACCACCCCCCCTACGATCTTCTTCAACCCTTACCCATTCCTACTCAACGTTGGACTTTTGTCTCCATGGACTTCATGGGTCCTCTTCGTCCCCCTACCCCACGAGTCCACGACGCGATCTTTGTCGTTGTCTGTCGGTTGACTAAGCATGCTCGCTTCCTCCCTTGCAAGTATGCTAGTTCAGCCAAAGACATCACCTCCCTATACTTTGACTGCATTGCCATTTATCACGGTCTTTCCACTAGTATCGTCTCTGATCGCGATCCCCGCTTTACTTCTCACTTCTGGCATGGACTCCATGAGATCTATGGCTCAAAGCTCCGCCTCTCCTCCTCCTATCATCCCTAGTCATCTGGACAGACTGAGGTCACCAACAAAACTCTTGGGAGTATCCTCAAGAAGTTTGTTGAGAATGACTCTGATTGGGATCTTCAACTTGCTCATGCGAAGGTCGCTTACAACCATGCAATTTTTCCCGCTACTGGTATGTCTCCGTATTACTGTGACTTGGGATACCACCCTCGTGTCCCATCTGACCTTCTCCGTACATCTCAGATCCATACCGACACCAAATGCCCTTCCCTCGACGACTAGGTAAAGGAGATGGATGCACTTTTTCGCAAGGCTCGCAAGAGCATTGCTGACTCCCAGGTTCGCATGGCGACTCGCGCTAACCGTTCTCACATTGACCATCCTTTCAAAGTTGGCGATAAGGTTCTTGGCGATGCACGTCACTGCCAGCCCGAAGCCGACACGCTTCAAAAATTCCGACGTCGATATATCGGCCCATGCACCATTCTTGTCCCTGCCGGACCCAATCATGACTGTCCGGTGAGCTTCAAATTGAAGCTCCCCGATTCGCACCAACTTACATGATGTGTTCCATGTATCTCTCTTGCCCCCTTTCAGACGGTCTCCTCCCGAGTTTCACGGCCTTGCTCCACTGCACAATGTTCAAAGTGTATTTGTACTTGTTGTATCGATACATTCAAAATGTTGGACTTGTCCGAATCTACCTGGTCCATATTGCATTCCAAGACACATGTTGAATGTTGAGTGGTTGAGCGAGGCCCAATCTCTTGTGTTCAGCATTCAGTGCCTGCTCGTTTGTTAAGCTGGCACATCACATCTGGGCCCGCATATGAAACTCCATCCAACTGTAGGGTTGTTCCTTGATCCCAGCAAGTGGAAGATGTTCAGCGCTCTGAAATTCTGCTCTGAAATTTTATGTTTCCTTGTTGACATGTTTCCTGTATGCAGGGCCTGCTCGATTGCCAGGCTTTCATACATGTGTTAATATGGGTGGGCCAGCAGAAAGACATGGCCCAGAATGGTATGCTCAACATGGTGAGTTTGACATAAACTGTCCTCCTTGTATGCTTGTTCCGTCAGACAAATGAGTGAGAAGAGGGTTCCTCTCTCTCTCTCTCTCTCTCTCTCTCTCTCTCTCTCTCTCTCTCTCTCTCTCTCTCTCTCTCTCTCTCTCTCT